TTATTTTTTAAATTTTATTTTTATGTGGTGCTCAGGATCAAACCCAGTGCCTCATACGTACTAAGCAAGCACTCTACCACTGAGCTACAACCACAGCCCCTCCATTCTTTTTTCTATGCAGATATTTACAAAACTGGCATTACCCCTTATACTTGTCTTTTTAAAGCATATTATGAACATATGTCTATATCATTAAATGTTATTCCAAAGACATTTAAATTAGTGCATAAATTTCCTAACTACCCAAAAGTGGAAGTAATTCACTCATTCTCCACTTTTGGATAGTTAGGATGCTTTCAAATTTTTGCTAATACAAATAACACTGCAAGAAATGTCGTTGAATATAAATTCTTATCCAAATTTCCACTGATTACTTTGACAGATTCCAAGAATAATAATTCCTGAATAAAAGGATAACAGGTTCTTGAGTTTTATGCTGCTCTGTTTAACAGTACAACCATGTTACCCTACCCTTGCAGAAATGGAGTATGCATTTCAGATCTTTCCTCATACCAGAAGCTTTAAGGGCCTTTGGCAGTCAGAAACAATTATCCCTGAGCAATTATTCCCCCTTGCTTTTCCAAAGTCCTCTTGAAGGGGAAAATCAAATKCGAAAGCAAATCCCAGTTTCTTCAAACTCTGGCTATGTTATGCTTGTCCACTGTGGAAGTAACTGGCTAGATATATGAAGTTCAGTGAACCAGGTGCTAGGTTATCCAATCCCCCTTTCATTTCTCTCTTATGCCTTCTGAATAACAGATGATTAGTTCGATCAGATTATTCTCCATTCTCCAACCTTCTTCTCAACCACAGGTGTTGGGGGGAGTCTCAGTTATTCTATTTATTTATCCAAAGAGGTTTTAAGAGGGCACTATAAATTCTTTTATTCAAACCACTATCGTTTATAGTTTACATCCCAATATATTGAAGAGATTTTTCCCAAATTTCATCAACTTGCCTTCCTCCTCATTGAACTGCTTTTTTTCAGAGGATGGGGTAGAATTTCCCATACATTCCAAATCAGATCCTTCATTTTCTTCTTAATTGTTTGCTACTCTGCTGATACTTTGCAAAGTTTATGGTATAAGACTAAGTTACTTAACTAGTTTCAGGACTGTGTCATATATTTAGATATTTTCATATTCTTTTCATTCATTTAGTCAGAGTGTTATGAACATGCATACACTTCCTAATAATCCCAAGAGCCCACTTTCAACAAATAATGAACAATGAGAAAGGGAATGAGTAAAATGATACAAGGTGATACAAGGGTAGTAAACTACTTTTTTTTTTTTTTTTTTTTGATACTGGGGCTTGAACCCAGGGGCACATAACTATTGAGCTATAACCCAAGGCCTTTTTTAATTTTTTGAGATAGGGTCTCACTAAGTTGTTCAAGTCCTTACTAAGTTGTTGAGCCTGGCTTTGAATTTTCAATCCTCCTGCCTTAGCCTCCCAAGCCACTGAGAATAGTGTGCCACTGTGCACACTATTAAATTAAAGTTAATGTATGGCTAATGGGGCTGGGG